TAACAGTCCTAGTAGACCTTCTCTGAGGCAGACACTGATTTTCAGGTGGATCAAGTGAACTAAAACATGGACTTGGAGAACAAATTGGTGAACTAGTTGAGACTTGAGGTGATGCAAGAGGAACGGAAGTTGAAATAGTAGGTGAAACAGAATTTATTGGAAAAGATGGTGCAGAAATTTCAATATTGAGAAAATCAGAATCATCAATAAAGGGCTGAGCAGGAAAAAAAGGAGAAGGCTTGTTTGATGGAAACGAGAAAGGAAATATAGTTTCATGAAAAACCACATCACGATTGACAAAGAAAGATCTTGTTTGAAGATCAAAAAGGATATAGCCCTTTTGAGTTAATGAGTAACCCATGAAAACAGAAGGAGAAGCCTTTGGGGAAAATTTGTCCTTATAGTTAACTTTGGTCGCATAACAAAGACATCCAAATACTTTCATATGAGAAAGAGTAGGTGGCTTGTGATAGAAGATTTCAAAAGGACTTTTCCAGTCAAGAACAGGAGTAGGAAGCCTGTTAATGATATAACAGACAGTTAAAACGCACTCACCCCAAAATTTGATAGGCGCATGAGAATGAAATCGAAGAGCACGAGCTACCTCTAAAAAATGTTTGTGTTTGCGCTCAGCAACTCCATTTTGTTGGGGTGTATGAACACAGGAGCTTTGGTGAGTAATACCAAGAGACGAGAAAAGTTCAGAACAATTATCACTAAAAAACTCACCACCATTGTCACTACGAACGTACTTAACTGAAGTGGAATGATGATTTTTGACAAGAGTAAAGAATTGTTTAAGAAATAGAAGAGCATCACTCTTAAGCCTCAACAAGTAAACCCAAGATAGTCTAGTATGATCATCTACAATAGTCAAAAAAGATCTATGACCACTATGTGTTGAGATTCTATAGGGACCCCACAAGTCAATGTGAATTAGATCAAATGGTTTAAGTGACCTAGATGAGATAATAGGAAAAGGTAGTCTTGACTGTTTTGCAAGAGGACAAACAGAACACTGTTTAACAGAGTTATCATTTAAAGAAAAAGAACTCAAAAAAGGAGTCTTCTGCATTTTAACAGTAGTATCATGCCCTAAACGTGCATGCCAAAGCATTGTATTATTATGAGAAGAAACAGACATACAACCAGAATCAGTTTTGCATTCTGATGAAGACAAATCAGAATTAAAATTTTGAGATGACAAACCAGAAACAAGATCCTTGGAATTGAACACATAGAGACCACGAACCTGCCTACCAATCCCCCTCATCTTCCCAGTGAAGAGATCCTGCAAAATACAAAAATGAGGGTAAAAAATGACACTGCAGTTGAGATCTTTTGTGATTTTTGATACGGACAGCAGATTATGACGGAAATCAGGAACACACAGTACATTTGGAAGAATATCAGTAGAGTTAAAACGAAAACTACCAATGTGTGTAATAGGAGCTGTTTTACCATTAGGCAAATGGACAGAATTAGGCTCACATGAATGAAGAGATTGTAAACAGTGGATGTCACTCACCATATGGTCAGTAGCCCCTGTATCAAGTATCCAAGAAAAAGAATCAGCAGAAGTAGGTGAGCATTTGAAAGCAGTACCTGCTAGGTTAGTTGTTGCATCAATAGATGGAGTCTTGTTCAAAAGCTCAAGGATTTGGTGATACTGAGCTGTTGTGAAAACTGGAGCAGACTTAACTGCACTGAGATCACCAGATTGTGAGTCAAGAACAGACTCAGGCAGCGAGGGATTGGTGGCAAGAGCAGCTTGTGAATTCTTCTTTTTTGTGAACTTAAAATCAGTAGGAAATCCGACTAACCGATAACAATTGTCACGCTTGTGGCCTTTAATTTTGCAGAAATCACAGACACCGTTAAACCGTCGTCGATCAGAATTTCCAGACGTATTGGAGTACATAGCAGTAACTCCCGAGGCAACAGACAACTGAGCTCGTTGTGCCTCTTCTTGCACGATCATGGAGTACGCTTGATTCACGCTCAGCAGGGGCTGCATAAGGAGGACTTGACTGCGAATAGCAGAGTATGTATCATTAAGACCCATTAGGAATTGCAACAGCTTCTGCTGTGCAAGGTGCTTAGAATTTTGTTGAGAGGCTTCACAATTACAAGCCGAAAGAGGAACTAGGGCATGATATTAATCCCATATAATGTTGATGATTGCCTGCATTTTAATGTTCAAGCTGTTTTAGTTTCTGTGTCGTGCACTTTTTTTCGCATCTCTGACCTCTGAATAGGCTACTGAACTTTTTTTCAGTGGATGAGAAAGAAATGACTTGTTAGAATGAATAATGGTTATCCACTTACTATGGACTATTTAGTTAGGAGTTGGAATGGTTGCAGACTGAGAACGTTGTATTTGACGAGAGGATTGAAGAAAACCTAGTACAATATGTCTGTTTCATTCATTTATGTTCCAGAGATGAATGCACTGTTTTAGTTTGGAAAGCCGAACTAAAACACCTTTTTCCTAGGGCAACAGGGTATGTTTCCCTTCTTTTCTTGTCTCTTCTTTCTTCTGCATGATTGATATCTTAAAAGTATCAGCAAGTCCTGCTGAATTTAGATATGGTAGCTCTTTTCTTCGCTGTATTTGAATTCACAGTGGAGGAAATAACTTGCTCGGGTTGAATATCATTTTTTTCTTACTCCAGATTTACCTGGGAATCAGTCTGCAAAAACAGTTCCTGGTGTCGTTTTTGCCTGAATTTTGCAGATTTTTTGTCGGTTCTGGTGAGAATTGGATGGTGTTGGATTATAAAGAACAAGAAACTGGTTACAGAAAGTAGAATATGAGAAGGAAAGCAAGAGGAGGTAATGTCTATATTTTTGTTCCATCCCCGTATAGATTTCTGAAACTAAAAGTGGAAGAAAAATAAGGAAATAATTGAACTGGTAGTTCTTTTTTACTTGATTTGGGATGGTGGTATATGAGGAGGAGATTGTGGACCAATGGATTGAGCCAAATGCTTACCAGTTATTCGTTAAATATGTTGTCATCTTCTTAATGTTGGACCAATGTTTCTCTCTTCAAAGTATTTCTGAAGCCGCTGCCTTGAATGCTGCAGCATGCATATCAAAAGTAATCCTGAATATTTAACAAAGTTGTTTTGCTGCTAGTTATTTTATTGAAAGTTGCTTCGCTGGAACAACACACTCATTTCGTGGATAAAAGCATCAACATTAGAGGCCTCATGTCCATGAAAAAACACAGCATTTAAAAACCAATCCAACCTTTTTTTTAATTAATCTAAAGCAAGTACAAGGTAATACATGTTCAAAGATAACTCTCAGTCATTTGACATTGAACGCTCCCACCCTGACATTTCTGGTGCATGAACTCAGACCTCAAGGAATAACAAAAATTATTTAACCAACGAAGTCACTTGGTTCATATAGATCCAACCTTGTATGATCTTAAATGTTAAGGAATTTGAAAGAGTAAGAACTAATAGCCAGTATTAACATTAAAAAAGATACATACAAAAAACAAATTTAATATAGTTTGTTTTTATTTATCTCTACAGAAGAAAGAAACAGTAATCCACTTTGAACATATAGATAAGGAGTTTCCATTTCGTCATGAGCATGCTAAATGCTGTCATAAAAGTTGTTAACACTGTCTACAGACTACAGTATGCCTATCCGACACATATTAAAACATAAGAAAAAGAGTATGATCCTCTATAGCATGCTGGTGTTGGATGCATACGTTTATCTGACGTGCACTTTGGTTCATGGTAACATAGGTCAACATGGACTTGTCTGAAGTGAGTAGTCAAATAAACCATTTGATTTCACATCGTGAGGACCAAATCTAGTCGTGGGGTCTTAAGAATGGAACAGGTCAAGCCCGGCGAAGCTCCTGTCTGCCACTCTCCTTACTGTTAATTTACCATATTCGTAACTGTTGGGGTTCAAGGGAACCCAAGCCAATTGAGAATCAGTACTGGTTTCATTGTTCACATTTATTCTTCTAATTAGTGTGTGTGCATGTGCAGAAGGCAAAAAAGGATTGACTTTTTCTTTATTGACAAATAGATGCCGTGTTATCTGCAGCTCTCAGTGGGACCCTTTGAAACTATGGATTAACACAAAATTTTATACTAGTGAAATCTATAGAATTTTAGGAGACGAATTGATAAATATTTAGGGGTATAAATAAATTATTATTAAAAAGTATAAAAAATAAATAAATTATATAAGAATTTAAAATTTTGATGTATCGATCGTACCGCCAACCCCTCTATCCATCCTTGCAAGTAGATATTATGAAGGAGAAAAGCTGTTTGAGAGGGGGTAAAGTTGAATGGTCTTTTTCTTTTTGTTCCATTTTCAGATGCAACAATGCTGGACAGCTCATTGCGAACTGTGAAATAAAGCATTAATCCTCTATGAGATATGGAGGAATATCAGAAATATGAGCAAGAAGACAAATACTTATTATGGTGGAGATAGGTTCAAATAATCTCTCAAGGTATCATGAATCTTCTAATCTACCTGGAGCTTGTCCTTGTTTGTGGAATAATCTCTTCGATAGTGATTATAACAGGGGAAAAAATCAAACTTTGAACTTTCATGGAAGTGATTGCTGACAAAATCTTGGACAGTGTTTTACAGTTGATCAACTTTATATTGTCCTCTTTTGGATGACTTGAAGTCAATGGAGCAATTGCTTGGTCGCTTCCTTCGATTTTAAAGTTTAACATTTAATTTACAAAAACTAAATTATATGATTATCATCAAATGGCATCACATTATTATTATTTGCATCAGAAATCACTTCAAAACAGGATTTAATTTACAGAAACCAACAGTTTCAAACTAAAACCCAGAAATCAAATTTTCTGAAGAACAAAGAAAACAGGGGAGCCGAATTATAGTCCCAGTTAGGGGAGACGAGCAAAAAGAAAGAAAAACAAGTTACAAGAAATCTATAACTATAAGCAGAGTTGATGCCTTCTATGTTGTGTCAGATTTTACTTTTTGAAACATAATCGGTTGCGAGCTTCAAATTGAATCCCTTCTTTCATTCTCCTAATAAAATCTTCACACTTCTTGTTTAACTCTTCATTACTCATCAACCCAAGTGCTTCATCTTCATCTTCATCTTCATCGACTGAAACAAGCTCATTCCATCTTTCTTCTTCGCCTTCATCTTCTACAACCGAGGGTGGCAGTTCTTCTCTATGATCAACTTCTGATTTCAAAATGGACCCTTTTGGCTCTGATGATTCAACCTCTAATTTGATCCTCGCCGTCCTGTCGGCTTTAACATCTGACTCCACCCCAAAACTACCGATCAAACCAGAGCCAGTGGCAATGAAAAAAATAAGTCCATTGCAAAGCACAAACATGTAAGTCTTGCCGACACTGAAACTGAAGAGCTGTAAACTATATGCCAAAGCTTGGAAGTTGCATAACAAAGGGCATGATAATATTGCAGAAAGAAGTGAAAAAGGGAGCAGAATTTTGGTGACAAGCTTCAGGCTGATCGATTGAATTGGTGTTTGAATTCTTTGGCTTTTGTTCATAACCACCATGGCTTCCTTCTTATCAATTCAGCTATGAGAAAGGATTTGAAGAGCTTTATATAAAAAGTAGTGAGAGACTGAGAGGTAGCTTTCGGATATTAGACTATGACATGGCTCGAGGGAGATGATGCAATTGCTTTATATAAAAATAGGGTCTTTAAAAATAAAATAAATTTTGTTGACTTTTTTACCCTCGAAAGTGTTGTGTTCCAAACTTTATATCAACTCAATACTAACCAAAATGTTTTTTTTTTAAATATTAGCATATGTTTTAAAAATACATGTCCTTTTTAGTTAGTGTTATTTTAATTTAGTACAAGTACATGTGGTGGAATCCTAACTTTACCTGTGAAGTTTAAGAGAGAAAATAATAATAATAATCCATAAAGATTTGTGTTTTTTTATGGTTGCCCTTAGGGTTTCAAGACTTCATTCTGATTAAGTCGAATCATTTTGTGTCGCACACCTAATTTTGATGGTCGAGTTTCTCAATAATGATTTTCTACATATACAAAGAATTAAACTCAATACTTTACTTAAAAAATATCAAATTGTTTACCATTTAAACCAATGCCATCAATAAAAACTTAAAATAGTTGGTCTAGTGGGATGAGGCACTAGGTCCCTTAAGCAAGGTCAGGGGTTCGAATCCCGGCATTTACGAATGGAGCAAAATGGGTTAATAGGGTCACCCTCGGCTCTACAGTACCCGATCTGGATTAGTCGATCAATGGATCGGATACCCGTGATTAGTTAAAAAAATGATAAAGGACCTATCTAAATACAACTTATATTAAACTCCAAGCTTGATAATATCAACTAGTTCATACATATATAATAAGTACATATAGGGTATTTAATAAGAAAATAAAAGATGTTGAGTTGCATACAAGTTATGATCAGCGATGATATTAATAGCCAGAAAGAGTAGTTCATTTAATTGGCAATTGTTTTAGCTAAAACGACATTTTCTATGGAGGGTAGGTCTTTAAATTTGGCCTTCCTGGGGGTAGGTCTCTATGTAACGCCATTAGCTCCAAGGACTTCATGATTTTAATGTCTTCTACTATAGAACTACTTGCAAAGCTTAAATTACTTTAACCACCATTCTTTAATATGGTTGGTTAACAAAATTAATTTTCACGGTTGTCAACCGATACCAACTTAAAAAGAATATGAAATATTTTAGCTATTTTTATTTTTATACGAAAATTACATTTAAAAAAAATCATGAATCAAGCAACCACAATAGCTAAAGGATGTTATTATCTTAAAAGTTTTGAGTTCGAGCATGACATCTGTAAAAATGTTTGAATGTTCATTGTCAAATAGTTGAAAGTATTTAAAACATATACTAACTTATAATTACCCTAAACTTATAAAATAAAGAATAAATTACGCGTTTAATATCTAAACTATCGATTTTGATTTATTTTAATACCTAAATTTTATTTTTTTTCATTTTAGTACATAAAAATTTAACATTAATTTATTAATGATATTAGACAATCCCTTCGTTTCAGCTAAAATGAAATTCTAGATTTAAAATTAGACAATCCGTTCTTACACTTATGCATTTGGTTGTTTTTTCCGGATAAACTTTTTGAGCAAAGCCCATCCTATCCAATAAAATGCTCTTAGTTATTAACGATAACAGTAGGAAAGTAAATGAATTTTAATTAAAATATTAAAATAATTACATTTTTAATTAAATTTATGGGTTTGTTTTAGGTTCAGTTGCAGAGTAATTATTATTCCATGGAGAATGGTTGAAAAGACATAAGCATGACATCCTATCATTTTAATTTTGGAAAAACATATCGAGAGTTTTTCTAGTGAGTGAGAATTCATATTTTACCTTCTTCCTAAATCAGTTTTGCTTTTCTTTTTGGAGAATGGTTATTTAAGTAAGTAACACCCTATTAATTACATCCCATGTAACTCTTCCATTTGGTGAACAACTCTTGTTCAAACCATCTCACGATTCGTCCAAATTATTAACCTTTAGGTTTCTAATCATATTAAAATAATCTAACTAAGTTATTACTAATATTTCAACCGGTGAATATCATTTGCCTATTCTTCGCGTTTAACTAAGATAAACTCATGTACCATTACTTTGGCAAAACCACATAATGTCAATCGAAGCCTTAACGAGTGTAAATATTGGACTGTTAAAATTAATTTAGATTATTTAGAAGGTTTTGTGTAATTATCTCATTATTTTTTATGTTAATATTAGTTCCTTATTGATCTCGTTAATGTTCATACTTATATTAGCATGCTAATATATCATACTTTACATCGAATACAAGATAAACATAAGCAGTGAATAAGATGCAATGGTTATAGCCCAAAATAAAAATAACTAAAGTGGCTCATCCCAAGCCAATGGAAGAACCAAGAATCCTAAAACCTAAGACTGTTTCTCAAGCATCTTCTCGCTTTCAGGTCTGCCCATTCTTCTTATCCTTTGAATCTTCATAGGATTACAATTTCATAAACTCGTTTTACATACGAGGGAGTAAGGTGAGAAGAGAAATATAATTGAATTATAGAAAGACACGACACAGAGGTCGTATTTATAAAATTACAACAATTGCATATTAAAAGGTTATAACCATTCATGTCAAACACCATACAAATCAAACATATTATATATATGTCGCTACACATTTGTTAAAATTACCAATATAGGCCTACAATTTAAGTTGCCTATGAAGGGGTCAAGGGGTAATTTGATAACATTTATCAACATAATTGTGTTTTTGGATTTTTCAATCCCAAATGTTTTCCGCATCGAAACGACCATTGCTCATCGGCCAAACGCGATCAACTATCACGTATTCATCGAACATCATGTCATATGAATATTATAAACCCTTGTAACAACAAATACATGATTAACTCTTAACCATTGATTGTAAAGTTCATTAAACAGATTAATCGTGCCTTTTATCGAATTGAACAATTATATCATATATACTAACCGAAAAAGATAAAACAAACATGCATCTTATACATATCACATCGACCAAGAATTTTAACCCGAATTTGGATCGTACAAGTGGCTTTGATACCATTGTTTGGACCATCGACGAACCCCATGATGCAGCGAAAATAAACTCGACGGTCTCATCAGTGATCCATGTACGAAAAAATCAAAAACGGAATGAAAGGGATAAGATTACTTACATTGGGTTCCTCGAAAAATAGCAAGATTGCATAAATGGTTATAGTGTACGAACGATTTGAATCGCCAGACTCCACAAAAACTTATCGACCTCTACTTAGTTCACCCGGTTGAGAGCAAATATTTTTCACTTTTTTCCCAAAACATTTTTGAGAAAAACAGCTAAAAAGATCAAAAAGTTGCTAGACCCTTGTTTATCTTTATATACACGAGTTACCCTAACATTTTGGTTTGTAATTATGAATTAATTAAAATCTAATTTAATTATTCCAAATTAAATAACATCTTATTTGATTATTCTGAATTAAATATTCATTAAAAGAGTTTTAATCAGAATTACATTCTTTTAATGTCCATTTATTTTATTCGGGACAATGAAATTATATGCATATCAAATATGCATATATTAACTCTGATTATATTGTACAATAAAATCCATTTAATATTTGCTCATTTTAACCTTAGGGTGTGACCCTGTACGTTATTATAACATTAGTAGTAATTATTATAATCATTCTAATATTACAAACAATGAGTGACATCTAGCAATATATCATTGTCATCTAAGTTACAAGAAATCATGATTCGACATATCATCTTCGTGGTGATTGACTCTTTTATGTGTTACATCCTTTTGTCCTTTATATATATTATAGGCATAAGTCTTGGAATAGTCACACTTATGTGGCCTATTTATTATTTCTTGATATCTAGAGTATACTATAATTAACAAATAAATTGTGATATCTCATATCAACTTATTTGAGCATGACCATGCATTTCTAGTCTCACTCAATCAAGTGGCCTATGATATATTTTCTATTATGTATGAAGGACAAATCTTTTCTTAATCATTCACATCCCACTCCATATATCGAGATATGTTCAATATTAGTCTTTATAATGTAACCAGTTACGAAGCATGTTTAACTATATCAAAACGTATAACAATATATGTTAAGATAGTAATGATCTCAAGTTTGAGAATCATACATATTGTCATCATCGTGAGCAATGTTGTGACCATCACATAATAATCCAAGACATATGTTCATAGTGGGTTAATCCAATATGCCATTCTCTAACAACATATTCATGCATCGATTCTGACATCTCTATGTCAATGACAATTCATTGTCTTCAATCAATAACACATTAGTTGTAAACATATTATTATTGTCCATACCCATAATAATATTCGACTAAGGATATTTAATAATAATCATATTATTATATGGACTTTATTATCTTTCAGTTTATGTTAGACACAAATATATAACTGAAAATAATAGTGGCAATGCCTTTATTTAATAAAATTGGTAAATAAAATGTGTCCATACAATCATCATATGAATGATCTTTAGGCATACTCTAACAATAAGGACTTACCCTAGCCGAAGTGTAGGAGCCACCTGAGGGGAGTGCCCTTAGGTCCATAAGGACTTACCACAATGCACAAAGCAAAGAAACCACCCTATGGGAGTGCCATTAGGTTCATAAGGTCTTACCACTAGGCACATTGGGTCTATAAGCCCACCCAATTATCTTCTTAGGTCCATAAATAATTATCAGCTTGATCGGGGCTGAACCACTAGAGCTTCCAGAGTATATCCCATAATTTCCTTAGTGAAAATAGTCTTAGACAGTACGAGTAAATCAAGAAGATCATATGACATCCATTTTTCAGTAAACAGTAACCAGAGAACATGTATAAGTCAAATATGAATTTAAAACTGGTAAAACAGATACCATGGAATCCAATAAATCAGTAAACTATAATCAAGTTTTTCAATCATTTAAATTAGTTTTGTTTCAA